GAACGGATGTACGTTATGTACCTAGAAATATGTTGTCCATATATTTAATATTTAGATAAGGTATTTGGGAAGGGGTTACATAGCTTCTTCGCATATTGTAGGGGCGGCAAATTGTTGGTGTCTGTAGCCGTAAAAAAAAAGAAGAAGATAAATCCGCCTCCGACCGCAACAACAACACATTCTAACGGTACCGTTTTGCTACACCGGAAAAGCGTTAGACGTATTCTCGACTAGGTGTTTGCTTCGTCCGTTCGCGCCGTTAATTCCTGTGCAATCGAACGTCGTACGTTTTAGTTTATATACTTCGAACGCGTGTTTTTTTTTTCGCCCCGCGATCGTAATCTTTATAATCATTTAGTCTCACGTACGCTTTACGATGGTTAAATTTAATTACAATTTATACAAATTTACTTCGCGTTCCGTTTTGTGTACACGAGTACTACAGCGCAGCGTTTTCCGTTAAATGATACGGCGATTAAACCGATTAATCTTACCGTACCACGTTTTCCGGTCTTCGGGCTTACGAAACGGTCAAAACTCTAAACGTGTCTGAATAATTTATGAACGTTAAAAACGAGATAAACATAAATTGATTACGTTTAGAACTTGTACAATTTTACACACGGTCGTTCGTAATCATTTCGTAGTGTTCTGGAAACCAACGTGTTATAGAATTCGAAAACGGCACGACCATAATAAAGTATTACAGTATCGATTATCTCATGAAAACCCGGCAAAAAATGCGGTGCATTCGAGTTGGGTCCCGAATACTAGGGGCTAATCGCAGGTAGTGTACTAGTTGGGTCCCGGATTTTTATAAGTAGTTGGGTTCTGGAATTTTATAGGTATTACATTATTTCCTGAATATTTTTCGGTAAGTATAACATTATACTAACATTTTCCTACCGATTTTAACAGACATAGGACTGTCTATAATCTATTTAGATCACAGGTATGGTTAAAAATGTTTTTCATAGTTTTTTTTTTTTTTGTTTTTTAGTTTCTTTTCCATTAAAATATAAATTATTAGAATTGTGTTGGTAAAAATATTAAAAATATTAAAAATCAAGTATAAAAATACATATTGTATAATATAATTATAGCCATATAGGTAAATGAAAAAATATTAAAAATGTTAAAATCATTATATAATATAAATAAAAATTAATGGAAAAGAAACTAAAAAAAAAAAAAAAACTATAAAAAACATTTTTAACTATATCTGTTGTCTAAATAGATCATAGACAATCCTAAGTCTGTTAAAATGGGAAGTAAAATGTCAGTATAATATAGTACTTAGCAAAAAATATTCAGGAACTAGTGTAGTAATTTTAAACTCGGAACCCAATTTGGATGCAGCTAAAAAAATGTATTCGCGTCAGAACGTTTTACACGTCGAGTTTTAACTACGGTTTGTATTCCAGGTGTCTCGTCAGTGTTTTCAACAGTTTTAAAAACAATCGATTTCCTACAGTATAATTGAATTGGTTTTAAACGGCATTTTTTCGGGGTGATCGTTATCGCCAAAAAAAAATCCTTACCGACGCGGACTTTAAACGCTATTGCTCGCGATAAATATGATTCGGAAATTGCTAAATAAAAATTACCACCTCGAGGTCATCGAAACCTTAAAAAACGATTTCCAAGAACGTGTCTTATCGGCTGAATCTCTACAATAACTTACGTGTTCGCCGTCGTGTTTCCATGCACAAGGAAATATATTTACAATCAAAATGTACGCGAATACAAATCATGTGTTCGCCGTAGTGTACCGGCGGACGTGTAAATTAATCTTATCGATATTTACACGCATAAAAGTTATGAAATCCTCATTACGTTTCGATTGTTATTCATATAATACATCACCGTCAGTCTTATCTACGAGTCGTGGCTCTCGTGTACAGGCACGATCTACAAAATTTTACTTTAATCATATTATACTATCGATTAATGCCGGTTTAAAGTTATGATTCCAACGTAACGACGTTTGGAATTGTAGTAGGAACCGAGAACATTTGTAATTATATTCCTACAAGTGGTATATGGTTGTTATAATGATGATTTTTTATAAAAAATTGAAGATCTATTTTCTTTCCCTGTCGGTAACCTGGTATTGCATTTGTTTGTTTTGTGCACGATCCGATGAAAAGGTCTGAACACGTCCATACCGTCAATATTCCCAACAGGCGTACCTACTTGGGATCAATATCAATAAATCGTTTTCATCTATCAGTACCGTGTACTGCCACGAAATGGTTGACATCATTAAGTATGTAGAATCAAGGCTGTAATAAGTCGTGTAGACAGTGCACGATACGAATAAAATATGTTTCATGGTCCGTTGTCAGTCGATGTACCTGTACGGCAGTGATGTAAAAATTAGGACACGAGCAAAACGAATTATACAAACATGTAAAATCTATAAATACGACGCAAAATTGTTAACACATATTAATGTTTCGTTAATAAAACGTTTGATAGTGTTTTTTTTTTCGGTTTTATGGCGTTCAAAAGAGATAATTATGCATTTGGTGTGTGAATATTTTAAACGCTTAAATTACTAATGGAACAATAACATGAAAAACCACTGAAATTACAAGTAAGAATGAATAGCACAAAGTATTACAATTGTGAACAGTTTTCAAACATAATTTTTCTCGAAATGTAATTTCTGTCTAATGGTAACGATCTCGAAGAAGTCTACATAATGTGTTCTCATCGTCTACCAATAATTCATTACATATACTTACTGACTACCATGATTTTAGGCCAAATAATCAGGACACATATGCAATCTATATAAAATTAAATATCATAATAGTTACTCACAATAAATTAGTTATAAGTTAATTATACGTTTATGTTATGGATACATAATGAAAAAAAATAATGGTAGGTTATATTATAATGTAATTGTATAATTTATCGTTTACTTTAAATGTATTGTTATTAATTTGAATGTGTGAAAATTACTTGTTTTATTAAGGAAGTGTAATAAACATAAAATAATGCGTTTTTTTTTTATATTAATGCGTGTTCACATAAGTTGTATTCACTATCAAACTTAAATAAAACAGAATTGTTTTTATACCGAAATACCTATTATTTTCTATTACTCATAATTTTTTTATTCAAACAATCATAATTATAAATTACCCTCCGGTCGTTTAAAACTCTTGAATTCGTTTTAAATGTTTCCATTTACATATAAATGTATACATTTATATTGTATACGATACATTTTTTTGCGCAACGTTTATAGTAAATCAATTATGTTATATTACTTTTTATGAGTTTTTGAGTTATTTTGTCTATTACGTGCAAGTTATCATATATCAAATTATCATCCGAATTATCGTGTATGTGGAAATCTACTTAAATGTTTCATACCACGCATGTAGTCAAACCTCGAATAACGATCGTGTAAGTGTAAAATCCTTTGCGGTATTGGGTCGAATCCCGTTGTAATTAATAATGTAGTAAAAAGTCGATCAGGTGAGAGACCCCCATCAAATAATAGGTAATTTCACAATAGTTTTTCTAGTAAAATGAATATGATAACCGGGAGAAAAACTTGTAACTATAAGTGTTAAATTGTTTTCATCATGCATCGATAGAACAAATATTTTGGCTTTGTATTGTTTGACAATTGAATGAATGTTCAGGCTAACCTTTTTATCTAGTTTTCGGAATGATTTATCGAAAATATGTTTACTGAAAGGTACATTTAACTGATTACTTTCGTGGGTATTAATTAACAATTGTTTTTGCTGTTGTAGTGCAGTATTCGTTTGACGTTTCAGGGACGAGAATCCATTTAGTTATGCGTTAAGACCATATTGTGAATTTAATACAAGCGTACATATTATCTTGTAGTACCTACGTGATACAATGTTACAATTATCATTATCAAGATTGAAATATATTCCATACCGTATGGTTTATCATATACGATGATTTAAGTACAAATAATACGAGCAATATAAAACAACGTTTGCGGTACTAATTTATTCAAAATATTTGTTTAAGCATATTTTAAGACAAATGTTTTCACTCGTCAATGCACTTGATGGATCGTAGTATTTAAATTATGGCGTCGGAATAAAATGTACGTATCTTTTGAACCCGTGTGAATGTTTATCCTGCCAGTCACCTTTGAACTTATAGATAATTATACCGTTGTTACATTGTACATTTTAATGTGATATTTATTTTTAAAATCCGAATTCGCAATAGAACAGAAACAGCAGTTTGAAAACGGTTGAGAGATATACGCACGCAGTGTCGTAAAATGTTTAATGTACCTTTAAAAAGGATTTCAAGTAGTACACGAGTATATTTCTAAAATAACATTTGAACCACCAGTTTGAGAAATTCCCAATGAGAATAATACTTTCGATATAATTTATAATATTTTTTAAAAGTATTTCAAGTACCGTAAAAAAAAATGCCCATGTACAATCGTTTATCAAGTCATGTATTTGTATCTTTAAATGCATTAGGAATGCGTGTAATCAGCGGTGATCGAAGGTAACAAGTCAACGAAGTTTTAAGTTTTTTAGTTTTTTATATGTTGTGTACACTACGGGTACAGGTATCGTATGAGATACGAAAATATTGAAAGCAACCGAATTCTCGTCAACGTCTCTGCGCGGCGATCGGAATCGAGAGACGGACGAAAAATCTGTCGACGATACTGAAAGTAAACCCCCCTTCCCAAATAAGGATAATTACCGAAAAAAATAATGCAGCCATCATCGATTATAATAATAATAATAATATTGTACGGCGCAATAGTAATAGCAATATCGTACCAACGCGTCGTCGGCGTCGGCCGGAGAAGAGAGCGGGGGGAACATATCTCGTAGTAGGAGCGCTGGCGGCGGCGGCCGAGCGCTTGTGCCGCCCGGCGATTGGCCGCCGCCGCGGTGGGGCCGGTAGACGGGCGGCGCGGACGGGGGCCCGAAGACGCCGCCGCCGAGTCGTGTACCCCGCCCGCCCGACGGGTCCGATGCGCGTGTGCGCGCGAGCGTAGCGTACGGGTGCGCGCGCGCGCGCGCGCGCCACTCGCGTTCCGGGAGAGAGGTAACGCGACGACTGCGACGCGGACGACTGCGACGACTAGACGACGGTCGACTGGGCCCCGCCAATACCCTCCGCGCGCCGCCCGGGTCATAAACGGTCTCACAAACAAGTGCTCAACGTTCGGGAAATCACCCGCCGCCACGCACCGTAATAATAACACCGTAGTTATACGACCACCGTGCGTTACACTACGCGCGAAAGGCCACCGCCGCACACACGCCCGTCAGTGATCCACACCGCGGCCGCCGGGCGGTTCCTGTTTTTTTTTCCCTTCGGACGACGTGTGTCCAATATACGTGCGCGCCCGCGCGATATTCCACAAAAATCGTTTCCGTGTCGTTTCGTTTTTTTTTTTCCCCCCCCCCTCCTTCGTCTCGCGTGTTTTTCCTGAAAAACTAAACACCGAGACCGACGGCAACAACAATTGTTTTCGCGAAGATCATCGTCGTGTGTCGTCCGTCGCGTCCGTCTCCGGTCGCGGTCACCGTTACGCATTGTGTTCTTCCGCGTTCGTCCGGCGTCCCGTAACACCACCGCGGTCCAACGGGATGCGGCGTTGACACGCTCTCGCCGACCGATTTTCACGCGCTAACCGCCCGACTCCACCAAACCGCCACCGCCATCAGCAGCAGCAGCAGCAGCAGCAGCAGCAGCAGTAGCAGCAGAAGTAGTGAGATGAGCTCCAAGTTCATCATCGACAGCATGCTGCCCAAGTACCACCAGCAGTACCATCACCAGCTCCTCAACCCGGTGATCACGTCCGGCGGCGGTGCCGGCGGCCCGCTCGACTCGTCGGCCGTCAACTACAGCCTGACGCCCAACAACTCGTCGTCGAGCAGCGCGG